GGCTCTGTTTGGGTAGGTGTGGGTGGGACCAGCCGCTGTCTTTAGCTCTGTGTGCTCCTCCACAGAAACACCGAGCTTAGGTTGTAGGGTCTCTTTCAAACAGGGTCCTGGGGGGAAAATCTGGGGTAGGAAACACAATTAGATAAAAGAAAGGCAATTTCATAAAACTTCATTGCCAAAGAGTCCCTAGCCATCCTCTGCTGCTAACCTTCGTTGGTGGGGTGGCCAGTCCCCTGTGGGTAATCTGACTAACGAGATGTAGCTATCAGGGCTCTGCCACTGCCCACCGCATGGTCTCAGGTCCCCCTCTGGCTGCGGTGCTAAGAGCCCTTGTACACACTGTCACCTAGGAGTGAAGACCTCAGCACCTAGCCTCTTCAGAGTCCAGAAAAAAGAGGGGACTTTGGGATTTTTCCTGCCTCCCTATTAAAGCCAGTTTGTGTTTGAAGACCTACCTTTTCCACAGAGCACCTGACAAAAATTATGCCTTCTTCAGAGATGGGGAACTTCTTCTGAAAGGCTTTCGTGGAAACCTTGTCTTAACACAACCCAACAGTCTTGGTGTTCATATACGAGGAAACATGGAGAGTCGTGGGGTGGATGGGGCTTCATGTCATCACAGGAAGGAATCACAATGCTGTAGCTGAGAGACGAGGAGGGCCTGAACCATGGCAAAGGCCATGCGGTAGAGTGGACGTGTAGTTGGGGGAGTAGGTCGGACACGAGACACACACAGAACAGACCACATTTCTTCACTGAGGGGTACAAAGGAGTCACTAGAGGCTGCCATGATCTAACTCGGGTACCTGGGGGATGGGGATGCATTTACTGCATTGGAGGCCCAGGAGGGATTGGAGGTAACCTGGGGGAGAAGAGTGTCTTTGGTTCAGTATCTTTTGGTTCAGAGACGCCTGTAGGTCATCCAAGAGAGGACATTCCAGTTGCTGCCTGACTTTTAGTTTTCTTTAGTTCTGCTTACAAAATCAGAGAGAATCAACATTCTGTCAGGGATTGTTACTTCCCCTTTGGGCCCTCGGCTGGGTTCTCTCCAGCCCCTTGCCCTCAGGCAAGAGAGAAGCAAGCAGCACAGTCTGTTGGGGGCTGCAGGGCAGGCTCTTAACACAGCAGGGCCCTTCAGATGTTCAGTAACTGACAATCCCAGGTCTACCGCCTGCCAGCTTCTGTTCACGGAGACACAGCATCACAGACTCTCCGGACTGGAAGGGACGTTAGAGGTCATCCGTTTCAGCCTCGGGGTTGGCATTTTCAGACTGTTCTAATAATTCAAGAGTTCCTGCTTCTATTATGTGGGAGACTGTTTCTTCTGACTTCCCTCAACATGCTGTTAAAGACATGGTCCACCTGTGGGCTTTCTTCCTAAGGGTAAGTGAGCTGGGGCTCATGTTCATGGATCCAGCAGTGAAAGACACAACAGGGCTTGGTTTGGGAACACAAGTCTTTTTCTCCTTCACACTATAGCTACGAGAATGGTCTCCATGGTTACAGCAGCTTCCCAGAGGTATCTAGATTTTCATGTTCCATATTTCCCTAAATATCTAATTTATGAATAATCTGTTTAGGTAACCTGCTGGAAAGTTTCTGCATGTATATGAATATTTCTATGTGTTCAAAACAGCAAAAAAAGTACAATGATAGGCATTTGGGGTACATTTTTTTTCACACTCAAAACAGAAATTAGGATTGACTTTAAAAATTTCAAGTTAAACAAGATTCAATGAAAGAAACACTGCCTTCATGTTCTTCAAAGGCATGTGAGCGAGAGAGGGGCTGGAGCTAACCTAATTATGTTTTCTTTAATGTGAAATAGTGATTTGCCTGACATCTCATTTGCATCTCACCATCACATTCAAATGGCTGGGACATTGATTTTTTTCCTCCCCCGCGGGGCTTCCTTTGAACATGAAAGTGTTTTTCCCTGTGTTTTCCCCCTCTTGTGAGAGCAGTGATAAGAATGGATCGATAATTACATTGTTGGATAAAAATGAATATAAATTTTATTGAAAAACAACACCAGCAACAATGTGGGTAAAGCATACTCAACAGCCACCGGCCCACACAACTCAATGCACGCGTTATGAAAAGTAATCACTTCTTAAATTGCCCAACTACCTATTCCAAATGAAAACAAATGATAGACCTCAGGTAAACTGATGTGGGGCACAGGTATAGAGACTGGGCGATCAAGTGTATTTCAAGATTAACTGGTTTGGAGAGGCCCTAATCCTTCCAGTTAGAGTGGCATCTAAATTCCCCAGACCACTGGGAAAACTCTTCTACTTTTCAGGTCCTTTAAGAAGAGGATTTCGCCAACTTTCTTGGCGACTTGCCCCTCTCGCTTAACAACCGGAAACAGTTCTGTATGTCTAGCCTCAATCTTTCATGCTTCAGTTAATCTATTTCCCTTTAATCTCAGCAGGCTGTATGTGTGGCGTTTGTGCTGCTGGGACAAAATAACATATGGGGAACTGACGGCGATCACAATCAGGCTGAAAACGGAGTCCAGCTGCGCTGGTGGCAATTCCGAAACAAGCCGAAAAGAAGTTAATTGTGGCTGTGGTTGTACCGCATGTGTCTCCTGCACTGTCCCACCCTCTCAGACCCTCAGCACCTTTCGGCCTGTGGCCTGGGGGCTGCCATCCTGAGACTTGCCAGCAAAAGCTCTCTGAATTTGAACAGCTTCAGACCTTCGCTGGCATAGCAATGAATGTGGCGAAAACTGTCCCATCCAGTCCTATATCCAGTGTTTTTGTTTCAAGATGGGATTTCCGGGCAAAGCACTCCCCAATCCTATTACATTCATGTCTTCTCGCCGGCCAGTCCCCTAGGCTCGCTTCACAACTGTGTGTGGCAAAACGCGCTCCTGGTATACACGAGGAAGCGCTGAGAAGCCACGAGAGAGCACCGAGTGAACTAACATAAACATCGCAGCAGCATTTTTCAAATTCTGCGTAAAAACCCTGGTGACAGGTTCAGCCTCGCGATGTGCAGCGCTGGCAGCTCCGCATTATGGGCACCAGGGGGCGCGAGTGCCATTCCATCGGCTGCTGGGACTCGCCGACCAGGGAACAAAGATGGGGGTTTGAATAAAAGACTTCTAAATGCAACCCCGAATTCTACCCTGAGCAGCATGCATGTTAAAATTCATGAAGATGGGATTTCATTTCATGTATTTTTACTTCAGTGGAAAGAAATGCAGGTGGTTTTCTGGCTGTGTCTACAGCTGTCTGTACAGAAGGAGTACCTGATTAAATGAGGGAGGGGCAGGCGGTATGCTCTGCAGGCACTTTGAGTGGCTGGCTGGGCCTCTGTCTCTGGTTCTGGCGACAGCTCCTGTTATGCTGGGTGGCATCCTCTGCATGTTCAAGAATATATTGATTAATCATATTGTTTTTTAAAAGATGCACGTCTTCAGCAGGCAGCTCTGGGTCCAATGAACGGCATGAGTCATAGAAGGCACTTATTATTTTGATGAAACAGCACATTTCTTTCAGCCCATAAAAATCAAAGGTGTGAGAAAAGGCTGTTTTCAGGATGTAAAAGTTCTGTCCTTTCCCAGTCGTAGTGCACAAAGGTTCCTTCCCTGGGGTCTTTGTGCATTTTCCAGGCCTGCGTGACATGGTGCTAAATGCCTGGGGGGAAGAGCCTCCGCCAGAAGGTGCTGGACACAGGCCAGGGCAGCTCGGCCCCTCCCTGGGGGTCCTCCCAGCGTGTTCCAGAGTCCCCAGCCTGGTGGAGGATGGCACTGCTATAACTTTGCTCTGGGCCAGTGCCATACAAAGTGGCAGTTGGGGACCTTTTAGGGAGGAAGCCTAGGGGGACGATGGACTGAAAGGGATGGAAGCCTGGAACTCCAGATACACCTGCGTGAGGGAGGCTGAGTCCCACACCCCGAGCTCTGGGATGTTCCCTCTGTAGCTCCAGCATGTAGCACTGTGCCTGGTGCTTATTAAGTGCCCCACAAACATGGGTTGAATACACAAATGAGAGAATGAAGGCAGAGGAAGCTGTGGGGATCCCCAGCTGGTCCTAGCTGTAGCTGAGCCTGGGGGCAACTGGAGCAGCAACGAGGGGACAGTGCTGGGAAGTCTGGCTTTCTGGGGCCAAGGCACTGAGATAGGAACGGGCTGCAGAGCTGAAGAATCCAGGAGGTCAGCAGGGGCCACCGTGAGCGTCTCCGTGTGCCAGGATGGTGTTGCAATGTCCATGCAGGGCCTCTCCATTCTTTCCTCTTCACTGCCCTCGCTGGAGCCAGCCTTTCTGCTGTTGCCATGGCAACACCTGCCAGAGGTGCTGCTGCGGGCCAGCTGGGTAGTCAAGACTTCTTGGGCCTGAGCAAAAAAGGGGCTCTGAACTGTCCCCACAGAAGATGGGACCTCAGGGGTCTCTCTTCTCAGGGAAAGGGAGGAAAGGAGATGGGATAGCGACAAGCACAAAAACTGCTGCCAGGGCATGTCGAGGTTCCCCCCGGCTTTGCTGGCAGGGACTCTTGGGGGACGGCAGAGCCCAGTTATCATGGGAGTCACCCTGGCATTGCAGCGTTTGCCCTGCTCCCTCACCTGGCTTCCCTGCCGGGTCTATCTTGAGGGTGATCGACAAGACTCCCCAGGGGCTGGCAGGCCTCTTGAGGCTCCCTGTGAAGGGTGCAGGCTCAGAGAGGGCCCGAACCAACTGTCTTGCAGGCTCCACTGAGAGCACAGTCGGAGGCCCTAGGTTGCAGGGCCGCCATGGTGGTCCCCGCCCAGGACCCCCGAGAGTGGGCACTGGCTGCTCTCCACTCTGGAGTCTCCTCGTAACTCTTCGGTTGCCACATTCCCAGCATACACAGGGATTGTGGGGAACACCAGCCTCCAGCCAGTTGGGGGCGCTAGCTTCCTCTCCACATTTTTTTCCCCAGGGCTTTTGAAGAGCAAGAAGCACCTAATGAAGAAGCAGCAGGAAAGCAGAAGATGGTCAGCTCTGGGGAAAAAACAATAGCCCAACCTTCCCTGGGGTCCGGGAGTGGGTGAGAAACACTGTAGCTACTTAAAAGGGGGTCCTGTGATTCAAGGTGACTCAGCCTTGCAAGTCATGTCCCTCTGGGGCCCGGAGGAGAATTTTCTCACCATCCCCTGAAAAGCTCTCAGCCTGGGCAACAGCCCTGCTTTCCCACATCGACCTTTTAACAACAGCGGCATTAACACGAGAAAGGGCATCTGGGCAGTGGCATACAGTTTACAATACTTTGGATTTACATAGCACCTTTTTCTTCTAAAGGGCCTTTGCCTCTGTCCCCTTGTGAAGCCATCAGAACACAAACATCACAGCTCCTGCGGCACGGCAGGGAGACTGAGGCAGAGGCCTAGAAGTGATTTCATGCAGACTCGGTGGTGTCCAGGGCTCTCTGCACTTCCCTTGGGCCCTCCCTGGAGGGGTGACCGGGCACCGGCCCTCACTGGCCGTTCACTTTATATTTCAGGATGTAGGAGTAGAAGCTGTGGTTGGCGTTCTCCAGCACCATGACGTAGACTTCTTGGCAGCCAGCCGTGTTGCAGCTGCCCTCCCAGTAGCCCTCGCCATTCAGGGTCAGGGGCCACGTGTCCTGCCCCTTCACCAGGGCTTTGGCGACGCCGTGCAGCTTCAATTTGAACGGGACGTTCCGGTTGGCGGGAAGCACGCCCGACAGAGGCTCCAGCAGCTCGTTGTCCTGCCCCCAGTTACCAAAGCTCTCGGGGAACATGGGCCAGTTCACCTTGGTGTTGGTGCAGCACAGGAGATAATTGAAGACAAAGACATAGTTGCCCGGTTCCTGCCTCTTCTTGACAAAGATCTTGAGGGCAAACTTGCCGGCACTGGGCAGCTGGACTTTCAGCTCTGTCCGCTTCTCTCGGTGCAGCTGGAAGATGTAGCGCCGCTGCGTCTCCTCGGTGATGGGGCCATCGTCTCCGTGCAGGGAAGCCAGGACACTGATGCCCTCCTCCACGCCGAAGCTGACGGAGCAGCGCCCATCACTGGTGTGGATGATGGGGTCAGGGTGGGAGGGCTTCAAGATGCCCATCTGCTCCGAGAACCAGCTGGGGCCCACGGGCTGGTGCAGCTCGGCTGGCAGCTGGACCCCCAAGTCCACATAGTTACACTTGAGCGTGTACTCCAGCACTGCACTGTAGACGTCGGAGTTGCCCTTGGCAAAGATCTGCAGCTTGTGGGTGCCCGTGGTTGGAGGGTAGACCTCCAGCTTCATCCCGTTCTTCCGGAGGCTCAGCAGCCCGTGCTCCTGCTTGCCATTGAGCATAAACATGAACAGGGTTGGGGCACCGCTCTCCATGGTGACCGTGGCCTTCCCGTTCACTGTGGAGAGAAAGCCAAGGTCAGGTGAGGTGGGTCCAGCAAGTGCTGATGTGCTGGTACCTGTGTAACGACTGGCTCTCTGGGGGAAAACCCCTGATCTGTAGCATTTGCCCATTTCCGTGATGTAAATACTTTCACCGTGATTGATTTTAAGCAGCCAATGTGATGTCACTGAACACAACATAAGCCAGCTGCAGCACACCACTGGACGGGTCTGCTTACCCACTTTAGGTGGTTGTCTTTGATGGAGTCGAAAGCTGGGGTCTTAAGTAAAGATCTGTCCCCAGCTGTATGTGCTCGCCTCACTCATTTGATTCACGTTAGATGAAGTAGCATGGAGGCTCAGCCTGATTCTCGAGCAGGCAAGGCGGCCAAGGGGGCAAGGAGGGCCAGGGGGCCTGGTTGGAGAGCCAAACTTTGACCTCCTCCTCCAAGTCTTGAGTCTTCCTTTCAAACTGCTCCCTCTAGCATCTGTTTGTACAGTGTCAACAACTGTCACGACAACACATCACCTTGAGAATGGTTAGGAACGACTTCACTCCTGGGGACTGTGCTCAAGGCACGAAGCGACTTCCTTGCTCCATTTTCCCCCACCCCATGCTTCCTGCATGGGCACCGCTTAGCCATATTTCTGGAATGAAGAGTCAGCGAGTGTACGGGAGGCTCTTTTGCATCCACCCTCCCTCTGCCTCTCCTCTTGCTCTACAGTTTCACCTTCCTCCTTCCTAGTGATTTTTGGGGGGGACAGGTGGTCAGTTCTCTGGTCTTTGCAGCTGGTAAACACTCTCCTACCTGGTCCTTGTACCAGCAACCTCCCTGCCCCGTTCTTGGATGAGCATACAGGAGGGAGACAAGTGTCCCATCCTTGCTCACTGTAAGCTTTCCTCGGGCTGGGGTGCAGTGCTCCTGCCGGGAGACAGAAGGCGATGCCGGGGCTCTAGGACAAGCATCCCTGAGACTTCCTATCTAATCTGCCACACACACCCCGCCCCCCTGCCCCAGGCTGCTCAGCTATTGCATTCAGTGCCAACTCCCACCTTGGGAATGAGAATCCCCACACAGGCGGCAGGCCAAGGATGGGAGTTCGATCAGGCCCTCCCCTCTGCTTTTTCACTGGCTCCTTTATCTGGAAAACTTTCCCTGCCTTCTTAGGCACTGCCAACTCCTCATGACCTTATACTCCCAAACGCCATGCCACTACACTTCCCTTCCACTCACTGGATCTCTGAAATCTGGCCACTGTTTCCACTCTCCAGAGTCTTCAGTGACTTTCTTGGAGAATCTTGGCTGCCCACCATGCCCTTTGGGAGGTCCACTCCTGCCCTTGTGTCCTCCACCGTCTCCAGCCTGGCCCTCTTCCCACTCCTCTGACTGTTGGTTGATTTCTGCTGTCATTCCTTCCCTTTCCATTCCAGTAATTGCGGGGTTCTTTGTGCTTTTGTGCTATTTTCTTTGTCTACACTTTTTCTCCACTGCCTTCAGCCACCTGTGGGATATCTGTCCCATGGAAACTTCCAAAGGCAAGTGACCAAGAACAATAGACTTATTACCCTCTCTTGGATGAAACCTTCCTCTCCCCTCACCCTCTCTTCTAAGCCAGCTCAGTGATTGGTTGATTTCTGCTGTCATTCCTTCCCTCAGTCCTCAACTGCTCACGGCCCCTGTCCTGTTCCATCTGACACTGAGTTGCTTGTGAGGTGCCTGTGCGAGTCACTTTTGGTGTGTAGAGCGCTGCCCAGCACCTGCACACAGCAGACCGAAGGCTCCTGTGAAAATATCCACCTGGGCTCACTTCTGTGGGCCGCCATCAAACTGGAGACCAGTGGACAGGCCAGTGCCCTCCTGTCCGACCAGCTCCAGAGCCCTCCTTCCCGGGGCCACAGGGCATTCTCTCACACCCTCCCGACCACAAAGAAGCCTTTCCAGATTCCTCAAATGAGGCCGAGCACCCCGCAAGCCTCTCTCGAGCCCTGAGTCTCCTTCAGGGAACTCAGCACCACTGTGATGAATTAATGTCCATCCTCTCTTCTGGGCGTGGGGAAGGTGCCTACCTACCTCCTTTCCTGTCTCATCCCAGGGCCTGGCCCCGAGGGTTCTTGGCACAGGTGAGTGGGATGGCGAGAAGACTTGGAATAAAAGGTTAGCAACCCCTGGGGGCTGTAGGAGCCTGTAACCTCCTCTGCACACTTCCTCCTCCTCTTCCCCTCACCCCTCCTTAGCTCTCTCCTGCTCCCGGTGGCTTTCAACCACCACCACCCTATGTCCTCTCTCTTGCCTGCCTTTGTGCATCTCAATTTTCCTCTCTGCTTCCTTCCACCCCCACTCTTAACATAACTAGCTCCAACCAAGAAATAGTCTTTAAATATGCATCATGGGTGTGGAATCAAATTTTACATTACTATATATTAAGAAACCCAGTGTTTACACTTCTATGCCTCTTGAAAAGGCACACTCAGTGCAGTGGCATTAGCTGGATGTCGGTGTGGCCTGGTGCACTCTTCCCTGTGGCTCCGTGGCCCACCACAGACAGAACAGGCTGCATCTGTTAAAACCCGAGGCAGCCATGGCCATCCTGGCTCAGAAGCGCAGGAAATGCATCCTCCCAAGAGAGCCACCTCAGGCTGTTGTTTTCGCTGCAGGAGCTGTAAAAAGAATGCCAGAGCTCAGCCTGGTTAAGGGAATCATTGTGAGGTGGAAGGGACAGCGGCTGGAACTAACGTGGAGGCACCTGTGCTCCCTGATGCTCCAGTCGCCCCGGCAGTGTGGAGAAGGGCTCCCACCACTCTGGGCCCACCCACAGGCCACTCGGTGCTAGAGCTCAGGCCTTTCCCCCTGGGAGCACACAGGCTCCCCTGGTGGCAGAGATGGAGCAGCCAGGCATGCGATCCTTTGTTAAAGTGGGGGTGGGGGATACACTGACCCGGCTGTGCTAAGCCTAGCAGTGTGTCTAGACTATGTGCCCCGCCTCAGACCAGGGCCTCAGAGATGCATAAGACCAGGTTTCTGGAGACAGTCCTGTGAGGCTCATGACCACAGTTCTAGACCCCTGGGGCTGGTCTCCCCCATACCCAATGGTACACAAACACACTCAGGTGGCTGCCTGTGTGGCCTCTGTGGGAGGTGGGGAGCAAATGTCCGTCCAGCCCAGCCATGAGGACAGCTCGGCTTGGGGAAGCTACCTGGAAAAGGCTGGATCCTGCCACCAGGAGGAAGGGAGAAGGAGCAGAGGCCGGCAGAACCAACAGGCACCCAGGTCACTGAGGAGGTCCGGCGGTACTTGAGCTCAGAGGTTCCTATGACATGTTTGTTCCCATCTACTGCAATGCCTGCTCTACGCCAGCTCTCAAGACCCAGCTCAGTGGCCACCTCCCCCACCTTCTGTGTTAAGACACCCCCTGCTGCTGCACCCTGAATATCTGGTTAGACCACTGACATAAAATATTGGCTCTGCTGGGCCAACACATGCTCTCTGCCAGGGGTTTGGGAAGAGAACACAGCACCTGAGCTGGGAGGCGGGTGCAGCCAGGGCAGCCCTTTCCTGCTGGGTCAGCTGACAGAGGCTCAGCCCACCTGGGGTCCCTGGCGCTGACTCCCCAACAGGCTGGGCTGTGAGTATAGCTCCTGGGGGAAGGGAAACCTGCAGACTTCCTCCTTCTTGATTCACGCTGCACCCCCTTCTTGATTCACGCTGGCGTGAGCGGGCTTCTGTCCCTGCGAGTGTGGGCCCAGGTGCCCAGATGCACAGAGCAGGCCGCCCTGTCCCTGCAGGCCGCAGGCCCGGGGTTACCTGTTCGGACCACAGGAGTCTCTGGGTAGGCACTCAGCATCCCCTTGTTGTAGAATTCACTCTTGTGATACATGTTGTTCTCAAACTGCCTCAGGGATTGAGGAGGTTTCAGCAGTTGCCAGTTCTTGTTGTCTGGGAAATGGTCCTCGATGAACAGCGCGGGGTGGGTGAGGAAGTAGAATTCATTGTAGCTGGAGAGAAGGAAAAGCTGGTCAGTAGCCATGCAGGGTGAGCAGGCCCCAGCCCTGTGAAATGGGCAGCAGGGCCTCACAGGGGCACCTTTGGGGCTTTCTTCTGGCTAATGCACACACAGGGGGATCCCACTGATGCCCTGAATGAAAGGCGCCATCTCCAATCCTAACACGGACCCTGAAACCCTCGGTGTCTCCTTCCAGAAATAGGAGCCACAGCAGGATCTGAGGTGCTTTCCAAAAGAAAGCTTTCCTGCTTTCAAAGCCAAACGAAGATTTGAAGAAAGCAAAAGGCATGACCTGCAGACCAGGTGCCAGCCAGTAAGGCGGAGGGAAGGCGGGGAGGGAAAATGCTCTGGTGGGCCAGCTTCATCACCCCAGCTCATCACCGTGCCTGAGCCGCTGTGTGGGTGGAGGCCCTTCCGTGCTCTGTGGGGCCGACCAGATGTAGCTCTCTGGAGGTCAGTGATGGGGATCAAAGGGAGATGGTGAGATTTGTCTGAGCAGGGAGGCTTTCCTTGGCTCAAGGTGAGTAGGGCCAGAGCTGACAGAGGTCGAGGGGGTATGTGAGCGCACAGGCCCTGCGTGTGGAGCTGTGTGCATGCTCTTGTAATCTGTCCTGTGTGCATGACTGTCAAGATTTAAATCGCAAAAATCGGAGACAAGGCCCTTTTTCTTGATATCTGATGGACATCATGATCCATGACCAATGTCATAGACTTAGCTGAAGGTGAGGGTTGGCCAGAGCCTTGGAGGACATTCATGCTCCAGCCCCCTGCCTTTCAGGTACCCTGCCCCACTGTGGCTGACAGATAGCACCCCTTCCCAAATAACATTATCCCCGAGATGTGATATGGCTGCATTCAGGCCAGAGGTGAGGAGAGGAACCCGGGCGTCTGGAGGAAGCCCTAAGAGAGAATTCTGGCATCTGTGCATCGTGATACAGTCAACGGGTCAAAGGCTTACAGGGAACCTACACACAATTAAATAAGGTTCACAGCTCTGCCTTTCCTCATATGTGGCCCGTGGGCAAACACGGTAAGTTTTTAGTGCTTGGGTGGAGGGAACGATAGGGAGCCAGAGGAGGGACTTGGTCAGTGGAGAGTGAGGTGACACAAAGGCCTGGGCCTTTATATTTGGCCTGGGGCTAGCTTACTCTGGAGCTTGAGGAAGGGTGACAGGCCGAGACCACCCTGGCTCTCCTTCCCTCCCACCTGGCCTCTTCCACCTGCTGCCACCTTCAGCCTCAGCCTCCTTTACTTGCAGCGACCAGACGCTCAACAGAACTGAGACTTGTACTCACAGGAAGGTGAATTTGGAAGTGGTGGTGTCTACCAGGCCACTGCCCCAGGTACTGTCCACCAGGTGCCATCTCCCCTCCAGGTACACGGCATTCCAGGCGTGGTCAAACTCCCCGGAGAAGCTCTGCCCCGTCTGGTAGCCAAAGCCCTTGGAGTAGCCGGGCACGGACATGCACTGCACTCCAGCGATCCTGGGGGTGGGACGGGGGGTCTGAGAGGTGGCTCCTGCTGGCCCCACCCCCCGCCCACAAGTTTGTCAGTCTGTGGCCTTCGGCCTCAGGTGCGTCTGCTGTCCACAGGTCCCTCTATGTCTCTCCTTTTCCTTGCCTCTCTCATAGTCACATGTATACAGTCTGAGGGCTTTTATTTCCAGGGCCATGGGACAGGGGGACAAAGGACTGGCTGGTCCTGCTGACGAAGACTGGCTGCAGTCCTGAGACTCCCTTGAGACCGTACAAATCACTTCTGAATCGTCTCTCCTCAGAGCCCGCCCAAGTGCTCACCGGCAGCTCTTCGTGAGGCCAGGGGGTGCCTACGAGGATCACCTCAAGAACACGGAAACCAGGGACACGGCAATGTTCTTGAAGAACCAGAGCGGCTCCAAACGTATGTATGACTGAGGAGTTGGGTCTAGGTGACATGGTGGGGTGTCAGGGAGGGGTGCTGGACGTGAGGGTGCAGGAGAGAGCTGAGCCCTACTGCCCCTGCTACGTCCTGCCCCAGGACATCTACGTGGGGACCCCTGGTGCAGGACAGCCGATGTCTCCAGCCCTGACCCGGGAGGGCGGGTCCACTGCCAGCATCATTTAGGTCTGACTGCCAGGGCTGCAAAGGTGCATTAAGGTCATTTGCTGACTGACTGCCCTGGGCATAGCTTTGGAGGCCCTCATAGCTGTCCCTACGGATGTGAAAATGCTGACCAGTCTTTTCTGAACTTTTGGGTCCCCTTGACAGTGTATAACCCTGCTGTTCACAACCCAGCTGGCAACACTTTTGGGGCTGGATGGTGGGGGCTGGGCGCTAGGCACCTGTGGGAACCACAGGCACCACTGGGAAGCTATACTCTGGGCATTTGTACGTGAAACCTGAGGCTGGCCCTGGGCAGTGGGCACCACCCCAGGGCCATGCAAGAGCCCTGAGAGCTCTGCCAAGCTCCGCTGGCCTTCCTCTCAGTGTCCCTGCCCCCAGAATGACAGCCGAGGGGGCAGACTGCTAGTCTGACTGATGAGACACCCTGTACTGGCCCTTTTGAGGCCTTCGTTAGAATTAGAAAAAGTTACTCCTTCTTCAAGACACTTGCTTTCACTTGTGGAAGACTGGTATAATAAATACACAGATCTGTGACATCCAGTGTGCGTGATGGCCCCTTAGATGGTGGTCCTTGGAGCACCACGTGGCCGCCCAGCCAGCCCTCTGCAGCGCTGACCTCACACTCCACTCAAATGCACCGATTCTTCACTCTGGGGGTGGCAGGCCTGGTTCAGGGCGGTAGCCTCTGGTGGCCGGGATCCTGCTATGGACCAGGTCTGCAGCCTCAGTTGCTCTAAAGAAGAGCACCATGGAGCCTCTCAGGCAATGGGGTGAAATTACCGTGCATTCACTATATGAAATTCCCCTATAAAAATGATCAATGATTAATAGAATATTGGATTAAATATGACTTATCTATATCTACATGTCATTTGTTGAGAGAATCGACGAGGTGAGATGTGGAGCCTCCAGGTTACCAGATCCCCCCTGTGTGGGGGCTGCTTCATGGGCACAGAGGAGCCCTGTTCCCACTCCAGGGGTTGGCAGGCCTGGTTCAGGGAGGTGGCCTGGACTTCCCTCCCCTGCAGGGTGCAGGCCTCTCTGCTGAGGCTCCTGAGGGGCTTGGCAGTCCCACAGCCCCACCTTCTGCCTGCAGCTTCACAAAAAGAGGTCCAGGTCTCGCATGCTAAGAGAACAGGCCATCTGGGCCCTGTGGGAAGGATTTTAGGAGCACATGGGGGTTGGGGTCTGACAGCAAGAGAAACTGGGTCCTGATGGAGGAGTTTCTGCTGGTAAAGATCAAAACTGAAAACCAGAGCAGAACGGGTGGCCCAGAGGCCGGAGGCCCAGGAGGCGGGGCAGAGGAACCCACAGGAGGAGAGAAAGTGCAGCATGCACACCTGGAGAGCCCCTGCCTCATTTAGCTGCCAGGAGAGGGGTGAGGGGATGCAGGGCAGAGGGGCTTGTTCTCAGGATGAGGACATCTGACTATGTTTATAATCTTAGAGAAAACGGCAGAGAGGGGAGGGTTGAAAGCAAGGCCAGAGGGGTGAGGTGGAGTTTGGGGTGTGGGGTGGGCCTAAACAGGAGGCTCCATATACTCAAAGAGAAGGGGAGAAGAAATGTTCAGTGAGGTAAGAAATTCTCCTGAGGCAACACTAATTGACAAACGCTTATAAACCCTGCCCTCAGCACATGCCTCCGTGTGTGTGTGTGTGTGTGTGTGTGTGTGTGTGCGCGCGCACACATTCAAGAAGGATGAGATGGGGGTGGGCAGGGTGGGACATGGAGAGAACAGCACAAAAGTCACCTGGTCTCTTGGTAATAAAATTTTGGGTGATTTTAATTTTCTTCTTTAAACTTCTCTATACTTTCTTAGTTTTCAATAATGATCATGTGTTACTTTTAGAATTGGAAAAAAATTCATAAATATTACTTGAAATTACATTCCTCAGTGACTTATTTTCCTTTCTTGCCCAGAATGTCTGTGCATATCAATTTCTAGTATAATGTGGGGCGGGGGGAGGGAGGGTAAAGGGAGTCTTGGGAACAGTGGTGTTTAGAGACCGGGCGGTTTTGCAGTAAGATGAACTGGATTGAGCTCAGCCATACACATCTGGACATGCTGCCCACTGATGTCCTCTGCTCAGAGCCACCTGGAGTCAGGGGAGGAAGGAAAAGCAAGCTCCAGTGAAATGTAGCAGGCGCTGAGGTGGACATCAGCTCAAACTTGGCCTGAGTGGGTGGTCACTGGGCCGAGGCAGGAGATCACAGCTCTCTTCCCAGCTCTAATGGTCACCTCCAGTGTGACCTTGCCAGGCTCATCATGAGCAAAAAGGAAAGATGGCATTAAGGAGTGACGCTAGGGGTTGACTCTCCTCTGACAGACTGAGGAGAAGCTGGGAGGGCCATGGGGAATGCCTGGGGCAGAATAAAGATGAAAAAATAAACTTGGCTATAAGCTTATGCCATACTTGACTATGCTATGAGGATATATTTTTTTTACCTGGCAGCAATGTGCAAGATGAATTGGACAAGCTTATAGTAAAGCATTATTATTAATAATCCATAATTCTCATGCAAAAGTGTGGAACTAGTAATTCCAGCTGCTGGTTGCTAGTCAGGATGACTCTTGGCCTTTTCATGCCATCAAAAGATCACTGACCACATACACTATGTGCAAAGCACTATACCAGGCACCAGGGAATCATATTACCATGTCATGTCATGTTATAGCATATATCATGTCATAATAAATACTATAACAATAAATATAATATTCCAGAAATAAAGCTCACCGGCTGGCCTAAATGTGCTCATAGTTGGAAGGGGGATGGATATGTGCATTGTCACTAAAATGCTAGTGATAAGCAAAGCCCCGTGAACCCCAAAGGAGGAGGAATTTTCTGGAAAGAGCTGGGAGAGCATTGAAGAAAGGACAGAGGATGGCAAACATTTCCATCTCCTAAAGAGCTCTGCCAGCCATCCCAAAGCTCAAACTACCACCCCACAACATCTATCTAATAACCTCAGGCTGCAGAATCTTGGTTTTTATCTTAGACAGTTTTGACAAGCCCAACGCCACTGGTATTCGTTAAGGACGTAGATCCAGACTGTGACTATCATTTTGTCCAGAGGTGGTCCAGGCTCCGCCAGAGGAACTGTGTCATAAGGCTTTAGTCCTGCACGGACAGGCCCTGCCGCAGGGTGCACCTGTCAGGCTGACCACAGAGGACTTCCCCAGCTCTGAGCACCCCTCCCGGCCTGAGCAATGCAGGAGAAAGGGAGGGACCGATGGTAGTTGCAGGAGGGTAATGAAACCTGTTCTTTTTTTTTTTTGTATCTTGTTGAAAATATTGTAATTTCTAATAGTGAAATTAGGGAATATGGTTTCATTAACTTGAAGCCCAATGTTCACTTTCACTGAGCAAGCATATGGGATTTAGAAGTCTTGGGGCCTTGCTGTTCCCGAAATGCTGGTCTTCAAGGTTGATATTATTGTGATAAAGGTAAACTGGCCAAAAAATATTGTGATTTTTATTCTGCAACAGGACAAGCATAACCATGACTTACGTTTCACAATTTATGTAGCTGATTTCTTGGAATTTGAAAGCGTCTTTATATTTCTGCTATTTGCTTCCCTTTCCCTTTTCTTATACCTCCCTTATGGGGAGGTCAGTAAGTGTGATCAGAGTAATAATTCTCTCGAAGGCCTTGTTTAAAGCCTCTTGAGATGTGACCTCAGGGGCCTCCTCTGCAACAGGTAAGGAGTCAGACTTTCAGGGAGGGAGGCTGACTTGCCTGAGGACACACAGCCAGCCAGTGGCCAAAGCAGGACCAGGACTCAGTTGTCTGGATGCCCAGTTTGGAAGGCTTTGCCTTGTAGTAGCCCTTTTGTACACCAAGATTTGTTTTAATCTATAAATTTCTGGATGGTATACAGAGCAACATTAAAGGATGGTTTGCTGTAGTGATGTAATTCACATTTGTGAGTGCTATCCTTTGATGCATCTATAAGAGGGAAGGAGTTTAGATGTCTCTTTTGGAAGCTGTATATGACGAAGTCAGATTTGGGGATAATTTAAGATTATCCAATGTATCTGCCTCTCCCAGGAGGCTGAGATGGTCATTCCTCCGTCTTCGAGGACTTGGAAACAAGCGATGTTTTGAGATTGCCTGGACATCATGCTAGGCAGAAACATACCACTGTTCTTGCTCTCTTTGACAGCTGAAGGATGGATAGAAAACTGACTGACATTTGATGGGTGACAACGAGTCCCCTCGGCATCAAAGCCTCAAACAGGTACTAAGCTCCTGGCTTGATCAAAAGTATCTGGAAAATCTGCTTGCTGGTGCTGCTAGAGCTGTGATAACAAGGGGAGAGGATGTACTAGAAGCTGACTCGGTGGCAGGAATCTGGGGGATTAAGCTTGGTCCCGCAAGGAAATTAAGCAGAATTCATTAAGGCTGTGACAATTGAGGCAACAAGAGAGACATTAATGCCAGATGATAGAAAGTCAGAAAGAAACTGGACCAGCAGCTACGAGCAATAGCATCAACAATATACCTCACATCAGTTACTTGGGAAAGACGATGAGGAAACAAATGATGTTCTGAAAATATCTGAATTCCCCACCAAATTGCTTTATTAAATCAGTCTTTAATGAGGCCATTGCAGGGAGTCAGGATGGACTGGCAGCAGTAATGATGGCCATGTGGGTACAACTCTTGCTAAGAGGACTTCCTGACAAATAAGCAGGGATACATCAGCAAGTGTAGATTACATGTCTTCGGTAATTAAGGAATCAGCTAATGAATTTACCAAACCTTTGGCAGTTATTTTAAAGGTAAGGGGAATTCGGTAAGTGATGTATAGATGAGGTTACCAATCTTTAAAGCAAAGTTAAAGGAATTCGGGGAACTGTGAGCTATCCTTAAACATCCCGGGCAATGTGATGGGTCTTGCACAGGGTAACTGCCAGGTTGAAACCTAACTTTAAATGATGCAACATGTTGAAACGAGTTTTAATGATGAGCTGCAGGCCAGAATGTGGCCATCATTAAGCATCTGGACTGGGCCAAAAAGCTGACAGTTTCACTCAAGTTAAGTGTCAATTTTCCAAGTCTCTGGGAGTCTATGTGGGTCTGTAGGAAAGTTCCACAGAGCAAAAGCTCTTCCGTACTCAAGAAAGACAAGGAAGGTTAGAAAAACAACAGTCCCAAAGTCAGGTTAGCAAACCACAAACTGCACATTCTCATTTAGTCCTATAGTCCTGACAGTAGGCAGCATAGTCCCAGTACACAAATGAGGAAAAGGGGGCTCAGGTTTTGTGCCTTCCAAAAGGAACAAGACTAGTAAGTGGTAACTTAAGGTCTGGTAAACTGAGCACCAGGAAATCTTTCTGGCTTTAAATCTGGCACACTTTCTATACCGTGCCAGAAAGCTTTACTGCTAGAGAAGGATATATTCTGTGATCTAAAAATCCCGAGTATTTTCGAATTTGCAGATTCAGATGAAAATAGTTATGGTCTGAAAGATGCTAGGCACAAAGAGTTGACAGATTGATGGTTATTCCATATTTTAAAAGAGAATAAGGTCCATTTCATACAAGTCTGCTGGACTATCCTGTCATTTCCTGTCTTTGAGGGCCTACTGTGTGTAGGATTCTGAGATGGGTGGTCACAGAGGACACAGAAAGAGAGAGGAGCTAAGGACATATAGACACATGAGAGGAAATGAGCACAGGTAACACCTCTATGATAGAGTGAAGTCCAGAAAGGACTATGACACAATGTTAAGTGTTATCTCTAGGTGGTGGGATTCAGAGTAACTTAATTTTCTTCTTTTTGCTTCTGTGCATTTCATAAATCACCTACAATTAACCCTTTTTTAAAAAAAATTTAGAAAAGTTATTAAATAAAAGCATAAGGCAAACCATGAGCTCGTGGATAAGTTGTGCTGATGACATCAAGATCAAGGGAGGGGAAGGTGGTAGGGCTGGGCCATCCTGGAGTGGGGCCTGGAAGGAGCGTCATGGAGCGGGGAGCAGAACAAGCTTGAGGAGATGGAAGTGCGGCCGGTATCAAAGGTGCATGTCTGGAAGGGTGGCTGAGGTCAGATGCCGAAGGACTTTATGGGACAGTGTGAGCCTTTAGTCTTGTTCAGGAACCTAGGGCCTAGAGAGCCTGGGTGGGGGGCTGATGATGATTGAGGTTCCTGGAGAAGCCCAAAGACATGTGGGGGACACCTAAGTCTGGGGGAGGGGGTGGCAGTGGGAATTGCAGGGTGGAGACGACCGCTCTGGCTGAGGGAATGGGGAGTAGAGAAGCTGGTTTCCTCTGTACTCTGACCTGCCCTGGTTGTCTCTGGGCTGTGGTTTCAGGGGTGGGTCTTGGAGCTGGGGGAAGGGAAGAGCAGACAGGGTTGGAGCAACACTGGGCGCAGGCAGTAGTGATGGAGGGTGGGAGGCAAACAGCTAGGGGCCAGGCCAGGAACTGGTTGCGTGAATATCTAACGTAGTAGGACATCTTATAGCTGCCTATACAACACTGATACGTGACAACTCCTCCTCTGTGGACTTTGTTGCTACAGTTGGTTTGATGACTAGCTATCTGCGGTCTTGGTGGGCTGATGTCTGGGTGCTTGAGAATACCCATTCTCAGGAGCCTACAGAGAAAATGGGCAGGGGTCCACCCATCCAAGGGGTTTTCAGTGGCCCTTAGGCCTGGCTGATTGTTTCCTGGGGAATCCAGCAGACCTCAGAGAGTGGGCACAGGAAGCTATGGGGGTCAGTAGGGCTTCCCCAGCCTTGAGTCTGTCTCAAGATCACCCAGAACCAGCAATGATGACTCCAAATACAAATGGCTTCCTTACCAGCCACTTTCCTGCTGTCATCCAGCCCCTGGGCAATCTGGTCAGGTGCTCACTCCCAGAACAATGAAAATAGAGCCCAAAGGCTCCAAGAGAGACACTGCTTCCTACTCGTTCAACTTTTCCAACGGACAAATCTTTTCAGGTAGGAGATCTGTTGTTTACCCTGAGAGAGGGCCCCTGTGCCAGCCCCGAGGACAAGCCTTTCACAGTCCCCTTGGCGTCGGCAGCCACTGTCCTCCTGTTCCCAGATCTGCCATTCTTCTAACCTTCAGTTGCACAGAGATGGGAGAAGGTGGAAAAAGGGCCTTTTATAACCAAATTATCTTTGTGCATTCATCTGCCGTTATGTTAATGCATCGTGAAGCCCGGCAGATGGTACAAAGTCAATTATGCTGGTGTTAAAACAGGAGAAATTGACCTTTTCAGGACTCACTTGGATTCCAGAGCAGAGTTTGCAAACTCAGGTTTCAGGGCTGGCATGTGGGCGAAGGCACACAGAACTTTGGAAGGAGAAAGGGATGGGCCAGGTGGTCAGTCCCAGGGCTGCCTGCCTTTTGCCGGACGCCACGCGTACCTGCACATTTTCTCAAAGAGCCCGGCATAGCCATCGCAGTTGGTCTTCTGGGTCCGCAGGATGTCAGTGGGCTTGAAGGCCTGGCGGTTCTTCTCTTGGGCGGCCTCAACATCGTACTCTGGAGGGCAGAGGAAGAGGCCATGAGAAATCAGGTCCTGCGATGCCACCAAAGCTGGCGCAGAGGGGAGAGGGGCCCACTGCCTGTGGCATCGCCCTTACCCTTAGCTGTGCTTTCAGCAGCATTTTGGCTGGCCTCCCTCAGGCCTGGGAAAAAAACACTGTGGGTGGATGGAACCAGGGGCTCAGCCCCAGGGAGATCTGGGAAAAGTCACCTCTTTGTGCAGGTGGTGAGAGAAAGACCAAGACCTTGGCAGAGAGGCTGCCTGGCTCCTTAGGCCTCTGAGGAAGGGCTGAGACCAAGACCACACTCAGGGGTGGGGGGCTCTGCCCACTTGTCCCCACCCTCATGTAGCTCTGCAGGCCATTACAGTGAAGCTGCTCTCTGTCCCTGGAGCGGCCCCACAAGGCCAAGGCCTCACACTGACCCACACGGGGTACTCTGAGCTACCGTTAAAGCTTGCCCCACATAGAGAAGACTGTTCTCCCACAGCCTGTCACTTCACTAACGATAGAGCCTGAAGCCTGGGCTGAGGATCTGAGACAGGAATCACTGTGGCCACTGAGGACACAAAGGGACTGTGCATGTGTGTGTGTGTGTGCGCGCGCGCGCGTGTGTGTGTGTGTGTGTGTATGAGAGAGAGAGAGTGTGCGCGAGCAGTAAACAAATTCCTACCAAATGCTCTGTTTCTGATCCTGCCCACTTAAGGCTGAGGCTGAGCTGCTGGGCTTGGGGTGGGAGCAGGTGGTCCCTCAGGCCCTATGATCAGACACCCTACTGGTACCAGGTGAGTTTATCTTTTAAGCTGCATCTCTAACTGCTGCTTTGGGAAGACAAAGGAAAAGCCTGGTGGTAGCAGGCCAGGAGAGATCCCTTGATCATTATGTAACAGGAAAAACACTGGAAGTTCACCCATCATCTGGTTCCTCCATAAACTGCTAAGGGCAGCATCCATTATTCCCTTAGCAACCACCTGTAGGGCTTGGCTTGACCTAGTCAGACTCCTGAGGCTGTCCTTTGAAGACGTGTGGGCAGCTGCACAGGCCCAGGTCCCCTGAGGTGGCTCTGAGAACTGGGCTGAGAGCGGTGAGCGAGGTTGCCAGTGGAAACAAGGAGCAGGAAGAGGAGAGCCTACCCTTCCTGCCGTTGGTACTTCAAGCAACCTCTGGTGTTGAAATAACTTTTCAAACAGCTATAACTCCTCCTCAACTGCTGTTTTTTGTTTGTTTGTTTGTTTGTTTGTTTGTTTGTTTTCAAGATGATCTCCTGTCCTGAGTTCTCATCTCTCTGGAGCAGGTTTACCAGGAAGCCAGGACTGCGGGAAGGTGGCCACTGGCTGTGGGCAGAGGGCCACATGGGACCCCCGCCCACTGACCCTTCCTGAAGACTGTTAGCACATGATGAGTTTTACCCTCCTTGGTTAGTCTTAAGTTATTCAATCCAGTCATCTGGAAGCGCCTTTCCTCCACCTTCCATCTTGTTCCACACACCTTGGTGATTGAGTGAGTCTCAGAGATGCTCCCTGGGAACAGAGGACTGCAGGGAGTGGCTTCAAAAGCTCCTAGAGCCAGTGGCAGCACGGGCGGTCCTACCTATGTGGTGGCATATCCAGATCCAGATCGCGCGGACCCTCTCCAGATCACTGTGGGCCTCCTGGAGCAGGTCATTCACCAGCTCGTCCAGGCCACTCTTGACCGTCACCTGGGGAGTGAGAGGGGTATACTGTGTCAGGGCCTGGACGAGGGCTGTGGGACACTCAGCACTCTGCCACCTGCAGCCAGTGTTGCCTTTCCTCCAGGCAGAGAAGGAGGGGAGAGGCCCAGAGGGACAAAGGCTGGGCTGAGGGCAACCTTTGATGGGGGGTTAGATTGGTGGGTAGGGCTGACCAGCTGAATCACTGGCCCTAGGGCCACCATACCTTTTCTTTGTAGATCCTGGGGCCAGCCAAGTGGGTATCTAAGCAGCTGTAGCAGCCCCTAGTCATGGCCCAACTACCCACAGCAATCTACAGATTTAACACAATCCCTATAAAATTACAATAGCTTTTTTTTTTGGTAGAAATGGAAAAGCCAATCCTCAAATTTATATGGAATTGCAAAGGGGCTGGAATAGCCAAAATAATTTTGAAAAAAGAGCAAAATTGGAGGACTCACACTTCCCAATTTCATAACTTACAAGAAAGCTGTAGTAATTGAAATAGTGTGATACTGGAATAAGGATCTTATAGACCAATGGAATAAAATTGAGAGTCCAGAAATAAATTCATAATACATCTATGGCTAACTGACTTTTGACAAGAGTGCCAAGTTCATTCAATAGGAGAATGATAGTCATTTAACAAATGGCACTGAACAACTGGATATCCAGATGCAAAAGAATGAAGTTGGATCCCTACCTCATATGCGAAATAACTCGAAAAGGACCAATAATTAAACACAAGAACTTAAACTATAAAACTCAGAAGAAAGCAGAGGGATCAATCATCATGACTTTGAATCTGGCAATGGATTCTTAGATATGACACCAAAAGCATAAGGTACAAAAGAAAAAAAATAGATTAATCGGGCTTCATAATAATAATGAACTTCTATGCATGAAAAGATATTATTAAAAAAGTGAAAAGTTAACTTACGGAATGGGAGAAAATATTTGCAAATCATATATCTGATGAGGTTAATATCCAGAATATATAAAGAACTCCTACAACTCAACAACAAAAAGACAACCCAATTTTAAAATGGGCAAAAGACTTGAACGTACATTTTCCCAAAGATATATAAATGGCCAATAAGCACATGACAAGATGTTCAACATCATTAGTCACTAGAGAAATGCAAATCAAAACCACAACGAGATATCACTTCATACTCACAAGGATGGCTATGGTTAAAAAGATAGACAAGATATGTAGGCAAGAACGTGGAGAAATTAGAACTTTGTACATTGCTGGTAGGAATATGAAATGGTGCAGCTGCTGTGGAACACAGTTTGGTGGTTCCTCTAAAAGTTAAACATAGAATTACCACATGATCCAATAATTCCACTCCTAGGTATAGATACAAAAGAACTGAAGACAGGTACTCAGATACTTGTTCACAAATGTTCATCGCAACATTATTCACAATAGCCAAAAGGTAAAAAGTACCCAACTGTTATCACAGGTGAATGAATAAACAAAATGTCATATAGCCACACAATGAAATATTATTCATCCATGAAAAGAAATGAAGTTCTGATTCATGTTACAACATGATGAACCTCGAAAACATGATGCTAAGGGAAATAAGCTAGACCAAAAAAGAAAACATATTGTATGATTCCACTTATGTGAAATATCTAGAATAGGCAAATTCAGAAAGACAGTAAGTGAATTAGAGGTTACCAGGGGCTGGAGGAAGGGAGGCCGGGGAGTTATTGCTGAATGGGTATAGAGCTTCCGATTTTGGAAATAGATGGTGGTGGTTGTACAACATTATTCATGTAATAATGTCACTGAGTTGTACAATTAAAAATGATTAAAATGGCAAATTTCATGTTATATATATATATTTTAAAAGGGAACAAATTAGGTTTTCTTGCAGGGACCCTCAGGAGGAAATTGAGTTGGAGCTGCAACAAAGGCAGCCTTGATTGTATTCAGTCTTTCTAGAGCAGTGGGGGCAACTGGGTGCTCGGTTCTAGGGTATGCCTTGACCTGTTCTCTCCTGGAACCATTCCGCCCCTCCCCCTGGAACCCCGGAAGCTACTCTGACCACAAAGAGACCTCTGGCCCCTCTTCTGTCTCCCACTTACCCTGCAGTTTCCTGCCTCTTTTTCTTCCATGTCCAGCTCCAACTCCACAGTCCTTGCCTTTGTCCCCCTCCTGAGGCCTAGAACAGCGCCCATCACATTGCAGGCCCACACTATGGCCTGACTGACCCCTGAGGTAACTACAAACTTCAGCCAGCTGGGCCGGGCTGGCTCCAGCTATCCACTGCTCTGTGGTATCTCTCTGGCCTCAGCTGGGCTCCTGGTACTGGCTCTCTGAGCCTGGTCAGTAGCCTGTCCCATCCCCTCCGTTGGTCGTTACCACATACCGCACCCTCCGCAGACTGTGGATACCCCCCATCCACCTCCCTTCCCTCATCTCGCAGATGACCTGGCCTTAGACTCGACGAGGCCCCGGCAGGACTTCCTTTCCGATGAGCCCTCCTTCCTGCTCTCGTCCTTTCACGCTCCTTCCTGCTCAGTCAGCCTCTCTGTCGGCCTTGGGTCCAGGCCTCCTGCCTTTGCAGGGCCTGCCTTCCTCGGCAGTGCCCTCGCTCACCTGTGTCCTCGCCTCCTCCCTTCGTGTCCTTGCTGTCCCATCCCCTTTCTGCTGCATCTCAACAAAATGCTCCCAAGTCTCTTTCTCAGGACGGCCCACATCCAACCTCCCCTTCTTTGCCAGGC